TCTAAATACTATTGAAGCAATGCCTCCGTTACCTTGTTCGTTTTTTTTCTTTTGCGGTCGTGTTCGTACTTCGTATGGCGTGTTCATCAATGTTCGTCCCGAGATTCAGCACAAAACCTTGTGACTCCACGCCTTTGTCGTGCAGTATGTATCATTCCTATCCAGTTACTTCAGCTTAACACTAATTTAGAAACCGCTACTAGGGTCCTCACCAATTTCCTTCATTGGATATTACCTTCAATCGTCCGGGCGCTATTCTGATCCACGTGATCGTTTCTTGTCACGTTTTTCGTGCCTGCGGCAGTTTAATTCCCCGGTTTGTTCTGTGTCTGGTAGTTCTTCAGTTAAGAATAGCGGTTTATTTGTGCGAGTGCGGAATCAAATTGTTCCTCATTCATTGTAAACGAATAATTGAATCACGGATTTCGGCACAACATAGTTTCGTATTCATGTGGGTGTGTGGTTCACCACTACATGTTTAATGTTTGTTTGTACTTTTTCGTGGCCGACGGGGCCGAACCTACAGGGTAAGGAGATACCAGGGAGTTTGTAATTGGCACCAAAATGAGTATCTATGTGTTCGATTATCAAGTGCCTATTCGATTGACCCACAGTGGTATAACAGACAATTTTAACTGACCGTTACTACAATTTTTAAAAATCCACAAATTATTGTTTTCTTTAAGATAAGTTTATCTTTACAATATTCTGTTTCTAAAGAATTAATTAGTCCATACGCGCTCGTTTTATAAAACGTTATTATTACATTTATCGATTGACATTTTCAAACTTTCATAAATTTTTTTCATTTTCATTTTCTCACTTAAAATGATAAAATATATATTAACAGTAAAACTCGCTTGAGACGTTCTTTAAGAGACCAGCTCTCTGGAGCGTCTAATGTGGGAAAGCGTCTTAAGCGAGTTTTACTGTATTTTATTTCCGGGATTCCTGACTACCCGCCATCTTATCTGGTAATCATTTCAAAATTTGACGTTCGATTATACGTGGTAAACGCATAATTTATTATTTCGACCAAATACTAATCTAAGTCTTTCCGATTTTTCATTTGTAGCACAAAATTACTAAATTTTATTTTTCTCTAAAATAATATAATTTTTATAATTTTATATAGTATATGTGTCAAATATTATTGTTATAAGGTAGTTTTTAAGTCAATACTGACGTACCGTAAAACGGTGTAAATAAGTAAATGAAATAACCACCCAAAATCGAATGGAATATTCTGTGTATTTAGCGTCTAGAAATATTATACTCTAAAATCGAAACTCGTACGTAGATACTATCGATAGAATAGTTGATTTGAATTTTAGAGCAAATTAAAATACACAGTTAAAAAATGTTGTATATATTTAGGGTCCATTTTGGCCCAGATCGACTACACCAAGATACATTAGTAATCTACGTATCAATTTTAAGAAAAAATACCTATTAAATATCTGTTATATATCGTGCCTACTTGTTAGCACATGAGGTAATAAAACCCTAATTATTTGTTCAAAAAATTATTATTATTTTTAGATTCTGAGTAAAGCGAAGAGTTTATTAGTTTTAAAAAGATTTACAGTTTAATTTATTTTTTTTTACCGTCTACAAAAATTCTACCACTAAACTTGCTCAGATATACACACTGGCATTATTTATGAAAGAAGGTATTGTCCATCTGGAGTACATTTGAAAGGACAATTTTAAATTTTCCAAGTGGTTTTCATAATATCTGAGACAAAACAGGATAAAACTTCAGAAAAACGGGAAATTAACAAAAATAATGATTTTATTATTTTTCAATATTGTTATTTGTTGTAATTCAGTTAAAAATATTCGTATCAATTTTATGAACTTAAAATTCGTACAGAAAATGTATATATGATTTTACTAGGCATGGTAAAATGTTCAAAAAATGTAAAGCATTTTTGAGCTAAATAGATATTTTAATTTTGCGAGTTTTGTATGTAATTTTTATTCGGTAAATACTTTGTGGTAAAATTGTTAGACTTAACAGAAATGATTGAAAATTTAACAGGTCGTTCATTAAGTGTCTTATTTTGTGGTCAAAAATAAAATTTGAATTTAATCGTAAAGTAGTATTTATTATTATTATTCTTTTTTTTTGAACATTTGAGTATTGCCGATTTAAGATTGATGGTGGAGTCAGAATTAAGCGGATTAATTAAGTTTCAAAATTATAGCTTTTTGAAGTTCTGATATTATATGGATAGTATAACGCTATGTTAAATAATTCTAAATTGTCTACTCTCTCTAATACGTTTGTCGTAGCCGAATGGTTATACGTTCCTATAGTCATCCTAAGGTTCGCAAGTTCAAATCCGTAATTCGCGTTTCCCCCCGTTTTACATAAATAGGAAAAATAAATAAATGCATTTAAGGTGTGCCTGAGAGACCCAGCTATCGTTCGCATGAACAATTTTAATCGAAAAATACCTTTTGATTTGTTTTGCAAACTTTTCTACCGGAAATCTAGCTCCGATGTATCAAGTATAGTTTGTTTTCTGGAAGTTTTACCTCCATGATAATTTAAGGATATCATTTTTTGATTTTACAAATGGTTTTCATAAAATCTGGGAAAAACCTGGATAAATTGTTGGAAAAACGGAAATGTACGAAATGTAGGTGTTGGTGAAAAAATATCACGGCCTTTTTTTTTTTTGTGTACAACTTTTCTATCAGCAATTTCGCACCGGATTAAAATGATAGCACTTTTTCCGAAAGAAAATCTGACTGCGAAGGTAATTTTTTCAGGTTACTGCCTTGGCCATTAACACATACTTGTTAAAATTTTCATATGACACATGTATGGGTCACACTTGATTAGCAGTTTTTTTTTTCCGCGAATCATATGTGTCCCATAATACATTTCGTATTTTTATCGTGTACCACTGGTGGTTCATGTTGTTAGTATTTTTTGTGTCAATTCTTTATGTGCAAAATTTTATAAATATTTCAACATTGATAAAAACACGACAAAAATAAAATTAACAAAATCATTAATTATCTCAAAAACATTTTGGCGAACATCGTGTGACCCACATAAGGGTCTCATGGTGGTCAGCCTATTAAGGAGGTGATTTTTCGATTTTCCCAGTAAATGGGAAAGACCGGGAAAAAACGGGAAAATCGGTACAATGTTAAACAAATATTATTAAAGAAAATATATAATGTTTATTATTTTACCTTATATAAATATATATATATATATATTTTGTTGACAAAGCATCGCTATCAACTGTAATTGTAATGATAAATAGGTAGTATTTAATAGGTAAAGTAAATTATTAATGCTGTACGATTATAAATGGAGTAGTAAGAGAAAATAAAAAAAAATAATCCGTACGTTGACGCCGCCGGACTACGTTTTTAAGATTTAATATAGTTTATTTAATGACTTTTGTGTCATACGTTTTAGTGTACACTCTCGTTTTGTTTTTGAGTAGCCACAATACTTTTTCTTTTATTCCGAGCCCGATCTGTAACCGATTAATCTATGATCGTTGAGGATAAAGTTTAAATAATTAAGTATTCCAATCAACTCTGGAGTACCAAACTGAAGCCTATTAGTTCACGGTCGTTTGGTTACTCTAGTTTATGTTTAAACGATATTCGTGTTTAAGGGATATACGACAGATACTAAAATTATACAATTTTTTTAACAATATTGAATAATCTATAGTGTCGAATGCTTTAGCTAAATCTAAGTAAACGGTTTCATATTTTTTTTTTTTTACATCTAAATGCATTACAAATATAGCGAGATACTGTTACAATTGGTTGCTCTGTATTTTTTCCAGCCCTAAAACCAAATTGTTTATTTGATAATAATTTAAAGTGTTTTAGATATAATACTTACTGATCGTTTTAAAAGCAATATTACTAAATTAAATGTACGACATTTAATTTATCAAAATTAATTTGAAATGTTATAATTGATTATAGCATTTAATTCATTAATTGTTAACATTTTCGTATTTGATTTTTAAGAGTTACAATATTAAGGAGATATTGGTGTGATAACTGTACATTTTTCATAAATTTCAAATTACCATTTATTATACTGCTATTGTTCATGTTCCAAATATGCATCGTATATAATACGGTTTGTATCATCATTAGTCGTATTCTTTATTTCCTTAGTACCTTTCTCAGTTTGAAAAGGGTACTCATTTCATTAAGAAAATACCTGTGGTATAAAATTTTATTTCAAAAATGTACCGCATCACACTCAATTTTTTTTTTATTACAAAAAATGACTTACAACGAACCCCCTTTTAAAATTTCAAGCATTTCTGTTTTTTTCCTAGCATTACAGTTGGTACCGACAAAATAAAAATTAAGTAAAAACTAGTAAAATTGAAATCACTACAATCATTTTCAACCAGATTATGATAAAAATAAATAATTGAAAAAAAATGAAACCGAACATTTTCCCATTTTTCTTAAGTTTCCTCAGGTTTTTTCCCAATTATTAAAAAATAAAATAAAAACAATTTAAAAATTAGTCTCTTCAATATACTTAATCCTATTGTATTATTTTAATTAAAGCAAGATTTCTGGTTGAAAAATTGTCAAAAAAACATGGAAAATTAAAAATTAAAACTACAGATCAAATTAAAACCAATACATACCTCGCTCTGCTCAGATTCTAAAAATAAAAAAAAATTATATTAATCACATATCATAGTAAAATCATTATATTCCTCGCTTTATTTAGAGTCTATTACATATCGTAATAGTACCATTATATAGGTAACCGGTAACGTTAATGTTTTATAGTTCTGGTTAATTTAATAATCTGGCTACAAAATTAAAAAATGATAGATGTATAGAAAATAACAATTTAACTTTGATTTTTTATTCGTTACCTGTACTTTTAAACAAAACCGTTTTGAGTAATAAAGAATTTTAAATTTTAAATATTCTAAAAGAAATACATTATATTTGTATTATTTAAATATTAATTCAAGATGTCAGATACAGAAACAAAGAGCAATGATGGATCTAGTGTTCGCGGTAGCATTAGCCGTCGATCATCGATTATACTCCAAGGACCTGAGAAGATTGTATGTTCAGAAAAAGATGATTCAATTAACATTGAATTCAATTATTATACATCAATGTTAAAAAAATTTGCACCTTCGTTAAGTAAAGAAAAGGACAAAGAGAAGATAATACCATGGATCAGGAAATTATATGGTGCAGAATACGCAACGGAATTTTTTAAATATAAACGAAATAAGTATCTTTTCACAATGATTTTATCTATTCTCAATGATGAAATGTATGGTGTATTTAAATCCATTCCACCAACGGGTCCTTTAAAATCGCCCGAAAGTTTACCTATTCCTTCAATGCCTTCAGCTACTTGGGAATTGGATAATATGTGGGAAGATCTGTTAAAAGGTGAGGATAATGTTAAAACAATGTGTTCAATGCATGTTAAATGTCCTGAAGAAGAAGACATCGATGATCCTGATGAAGAAATAGACACAACCAACATGTCAGAAGAAGAAAAAAATGAGTTAGCTAATAGAATCAATGAAAAAAGAGAAAGAAACAACGAAGATAAACATAAAAAAGCCATGTTTAGTACATTACTCGATTGTGAATTTCAATACTTGTTACATATTGCTCGACCTTATGCTGCGTTAATGACTACAGTACAAGATAAAACTCGAGTAGCAAAGTGGTTACAGAAGTTATGTGGTATACGAATGGATGTCAAATGTGCAAAAATGAAAGGCGTACGAAATGATTATATGATGGCATTACTAGGGTACCTATATGATTTGAGATTAACAGGACCATTTGAACACCCACCTCCTGATGGACCATTGGAAAATTTAGAAAGTGCTATGGAAAAGCTAAAAGATAGTTATCCAATAACTATACCATCACAAAATGATGTAAATGAGTTTTTATCTGATCAACCGGCACCGTCCGAAGGAGGAGCTTTTTGTTACATAGCTATTAGTGGCGATTTGCAAGCAACAAATTTGATCAAGTCAAAACCAGTGCATACTAAAGACTGTTCAAAATGATACTTTGTTGAAAATAAATGTTTTAGTTTCTAATATTTTACTTCGAGTATTGGCTGGTAACATTTAAACATTTCATATTAGATATTAGCTATATGCCATAAATTACCACGGGAAAGAGTTTCACGTTTAATGATAAAGTTGGTTCGACTTTGTCGAATTTTCTTGAATCAAGCGAGTACAAAAAACTCGAGTCGAAAAAATTAATACTTACACGTCTCGATTTCAAAAAAAACTAAAATTCGCCCAACTCTACTTAATGATAAATCCCTGAACTACCTCCTTTTCGATTAGAAATTGTGTAATACAGGGTTTTATTATTGATTTTTACGCTGAAATTTCTATCAGTGAGATAGTTTTGTATAAATTGTATGTGTATGCATTACGTTGATGTTCCACTTAGTAAGTACTTTCAGTAATAAGCGATTTTTGTTTTGATGTAAAAGAATTTAAAATTAAATTAACAGGGGATAATTTTTCGCAGGGCAAGATGCATCATAATTTCTATTTTTTCAATTGTAAAATTCAAGAAAATTGACCATTACAACTAAAATATTAAAAATTTACAAAAAATTAATTTAAAAAGTACGCATCGTTTCGACCTTCGGAATGTAATTTGCAAATGTATAATAGATGCATTTAATCTAAACCAAAATTAAATGATTTCTACTCAGTCTTCATAGGCATATTTTTCCTAGGTTGCCATTGAGTTGGATTGAAACAGCAAATGCGATCGAAAACGTCCTCTTAACAATATGTCGATTTAGGTTATTTAGGCGAAACCATTTTGGCATGAGATGATTTAGCGAAGCCTTTTTGTAATTGTACATAAAAAAAATTACTTAAACAAATCTGTTCATTGACTGTATTTAAAATGTTAAACATTAAGTATACGTTGCACTATAAATCACAGAAAAATCTAAAACAAATTATTTTATTGTAATGTAATTATCACTTTAATATTAATTTGATAATTAAATTATAAATTTAAAAAAAAAATCGATATTTTATCACTTTGTGTTCTCGTAAAAATCACTTTTAGATTTTGAGTGGAGCGAAAAATCTTATAGTTATACTATATATTTTTTTTTATCTTTTCACAACTTTTCTATCAGAATACTTGCTCAGATTTTTATTTATATCACCTTTTCTAAAAAGGATTCGGTGTGGGGAGGTACTTAGAGAGATTATTGTTCGATTTTCTCAAGAGTTTTTTCATAAAATGAGAAAAACCAACAAAAAAAGCAGGATACGAGTATGACATAGTATAAGATTTAAAAAATATAAACAAGCAAATATAATTTACATTTAGGTCACTAATTAATACATTCAATTTCATAGACATAACAGCGATCACGGTCAATAGTAAACCTAAGTGTATACACTCGTGTGTACACTGCAGCGGTTCTGAAACTGGTACGCATGACGGTAGTTTGGAGAACTAATAAATGCATGAGAATCTACCCTAACGGATGTTATTATTCCGCATGATTTCAGTCACCCATAATCTCATAAAGTTTTGTTTGAGATTCTGAGCGGCACGAGGAATGTATTGGTTTTACAATGATGTTAATTTATTATTTGTTTCTTTGTTTTTTTTATTTTTTTTTATCCGTGAACAACTTTTCTACCAGATATCTTGCTTTTCAAGATCTTCAAGTGTAGCTCTTTTTCCAAATCTAACGACTGGGGTGGTACTTTAATAAGGACATAATTTTTTGATTTTCCAATAGGTTTTCATAATAAATGTAAAAAACTTACGAGAAATTTACGAAATGTATTATTTTCAAAACGTAAATATTACAGCCTTCCAAAACATTTGTAACCGAACTTAACTCAGAATCGTTTTTCGTTAACAACGGTTAATCGTTGCGCACAGATATACATTAAATTTCCCCTCCACCTTCCCAAATCCTCGCCCACAACTTTGGCCCACCCATCGTGCGAAGTATGTCTGTTTTTTTTTTAAATCAAACCACCGGTATATTATAGTAAATTTCGTAATATCTTTCCGTCGGTTACTATTATAACAACAATATTGTTCGCTCGTCGTACGTACAGAAATCCGAATGCCGCGAATCGTTATGGCGAACACGTTTACGCGCAAACATTGTTAAAACTGAACGTTTTAAACTCTGTTTAATTGCATAATGTTTTTAACATTGAAACTATCGTTTAACACTGTTAACATTAGTTTCATACCTACAAAATCTGCGCGCCGACTCGAACGTCGATTGTATAATACAGTTTAGAGATCGACCGACAATAATTTGTTTTCCGTCAATCGCTATTGTTTGATAGGGGGGGGGAAAAAAAAAAAAAGAAAAAAAAAAAGTATTTCGATATTAACAACACGTCCGTCAATACAAATACAATATTAATATAATCGGGGCGCGGCCCGCTCGCGGACGTTCCCGAAAGAACCACCGACTAATGTTTAAATACGTTTTACGATTTACCAGCGTGTTTATGGTAACTGTGTTAAGAGAACTGAGAGAGCACAGATCGGTCGAAATCGTCGCGTTGTTGCGCGCGCGCGCGTGTGTATGAAACGGGCGTGTGAACTTTTGTACGACTATAGATCGTCTGCACAACGTCGGATTTCCGATCATAAAACCCGCGTTCGGCCGTAAAGCGTTCGAAATGGAATTATGCGAATAAGCCGTTTACAGCCAACATTCACCGGTCCAGATGGATTTAGGTAGATAACACAATTTATCGTCCGACACGGCTCATCGGATTACCAATTTTGTTGATTATTATCCGAATAAGATAAAAAAATTAATTATTTACCTAGATAATGCTCAACGCCGTTCGCGAAATTCGTGGTTTTTTTTATTATTATTATTATTATTATTTTTTTTTTTTTTTCACGGAAGTATATCGGAAACAACGATAAATCATTTCATTCGAAATACAATTATTCTGAGTCGCGAGCAAAGTAGTATAATACTATATTCACGGTACAAAAGTTTAGGTTAGTGTTTACGAAAATTATTATTTCCTTTCGTATTATTTTTTACCATCGTTGCTTATCGTCTCTCTCTCTCTCTCTCTCTCTCTCTCTCTCACTCAACCACACGAGCACAGTACTTCGCTTAACGCGGCATACTGTAATATTTTTTCGTTCACGCCACTTTTAATTAAACCGTTTCGAAAGGCGTTTTCTCGTAATTCTGCTGCTGTGCTATTTTTTTTTCCTGTTTCTGTAATTTTCGACGTGTAATAATTTTCATAGTAATTTTTATTTCTTTCAACCGACATTAGGTCAGCGTGTACAATGTTTAAATTTGTTGACGGTTTTTGCCGGTCCTCGCCAAACCTTCGTCTCCCCGGATCTTTATCGCCTGCGTCTTTATCGAGAACTAAAATTTCTTTTTCGCGATAATTTTATCGTGAAAATCGCTGGCCGCGCACAACGTGACCTTTAATTATTGATTGCACCTTAGCCCCGTCCTCTCGGGGTTCTTCCAAAATGTTCGAAAAAAAAATGTCCGGAGGTGAACAAATATAATACCTACGAATATATAATTATAGTTTATAAATATAAATAATAAATTAAATACAATTTTTTTTTTTTATGATTTGATATTTTCCCTTTGACCTATTTTGTGCTGGTCAACCCCCGACTTCAACCGCATTTTTTCAATTATTAGCCAAATATTTGGATGGAAATATGAAAATCATTTGGAAAGCTTAAGATTTCATCCTTCAGTTTGGTTGTTAGTTATTTATCTATACCTAGTGTATAAGTCGGTTTTTTTTTACCCGGACATTTTTTCTTTGGGCATTTTTACCTACAACCGTCCTCTCAAACGTTGTTTAATACACGGACGTTTGGTCGTAAATATTGTCGAATATTAACAACTCAAAAAAAAAAACCATCCCAGGATAATGGGGACGGGTGCAGCCACTGTTATAGATGAGAAGTTGGGGTGGTAATAGAGGGGAAATTGTTTGTGTATCTGTGAGCAACAATAAACCATTTCTAAAGAATATATGCCATATTATGATTGCATGTGCATTTTTTTTATTATTATATTTTCTTTAATAATTTTTTTTTAATATCGTACATATTTTGCCGTTTTCCCTACGTTTATTTTTCCATTTATTATGAAAACGGCAGGGAAAATTAAAAAATTGCACCCCTAAACTACCATCCCAGTCAGATTTCAATTTTTGAAAATCTACCGGGAAAGTAAGCAATTTTGATGGCATTCAAGTTTTCGTCACCGAAAAAAATACCGAATAATTTATAAATACATAGATGAGAGCGTTAGGTTAGGTTTCAGTTCTTTTGAAATCCGTCTACCCAAAATTCGGTGTTCAGACATTTTCGGTATGAAAATCATAAGAAAATATCACAACAAACACTTTTAGTCCGCTAAAGGTGAACTACTCACTTTTTACCTATTTTTTTTCATTCAATACTGACACGGTCGAAATGAAAAAGGAATGTGGATGAAAAAATAAAAAAAAAATTGACACGGGGAACGCCAGACTGGACAGCTAGTTATAAATAACTTTAAAACTATATTGCGTTTGATTATTTTTGAATAGTTTCTTCAAAGTACGTCCCATGGATCAAACAGAGTTTTCACGAAAACTATTGTTTAAAAGTTTAAAACTGCATGTAAATTTGTAACAAAAAAAAAAAAAAAACAAACAAAAAAAAAGAACCGACATACATCGCACGTGGGCGCAGCCACTGTTGTAGTTGGGAAATTGGGAAGGTAGAATACAGACGGGAATTTAGACATAGTTTTCTTTAAATCGACTCTTATGACGAGACCAATCATTGCTGGCCAAATTTACTCATAAATTAATTAAAAATAAAAAAAAGAAGGTTATTTTTATCTCTTTCATTTCGCGACAGGAGTGCTTTAGTGTTACGCGCGATTCCTATTGAAATAACACCATCAATAATATACGAGTAACAAACTAAAATATTTAAACGTATTCTTATTATTATTGCAGTTCCATGAGAGTGCGCGTATGTATTA